CCAGCCACTCTGCCCCCAGCCTGGAGTACTTCAGGGGGTTGTTGTGACCCAAGGGCAAGGATCGGAGCAGGCTGTTGGTATCGGGAATTTGGAAGATGGGGCATCTGTTAATGACTGTGGGATCCCTGCAGCACAACAAACCCCAGCCTGGGTGAGACGTGGAACTTCCCGTTTAGGATCTTTTGGAGGAAGTCAGGATTTCCTGGGAGCACGAGCCCTCAGTCACAGCTGAGAGGACAGGCTCTCACCTCATGCCCTTTCCTGCCCTCTGCAGCCTGTGTACGCCAGGGACTGTCCCCTTGCAGCAGCCAAAGCCATCCAAGGCCTGCGGGCAGTTTTTGACGAGACCTACCCCGACCCCGTGCGCGTGGTCTCCATCGGCGTCCCGGTGGAGGAGCTGCTGGCCGACCCCGCTGGCCCCGCCGGCTCCCTCACCTCCGTCGAGTTCTGCGGGGGGACGTGAGTACCTGGAGAGGCTGGGGGGGAGCTCAAAGAGGTGTTCCTGGGGAGCCCGAGTTTCTTACGGAGTCCCAGGGGCATAGGCTGGGCACAGCCAGGGCAGAACTGGGGGTGGTGGGGTGATCCCTTGGCGTTCCCAGTCCCAGGTCAGGCTTTTGCAGGCAGGGAGCTGCCTGCACCCTCTCCCTGCCCACATGTGGACTTGTGGCAGTGCTGGGAGCCATGGCCCTTGCCACCCTCTCCTCACTTTTGGCAGCTATGTTGGGTCTTGTGCCTGTCCCCACACTTGCTCCATCTCCCTGGTGGGGTGGTTTTCTTGTTTCTGTGACAATTTCCTGACGAGATGAGAGGTGAGCTTCTAACACCCTCTTGTTGGGGGTCTTCCTGGGTTCTTTCCAAAGGCACTTGCAGAACTCCAGCCACGCTGGCCCCTTTGTGATTGTTTCAGAAGAAGCGATTGCTAAAGGCATCCGGAGGATAGTGGCGGTCACCGGGACTGAAGCTCGGAAGGTGAGGAGGGGCAGGAGAGATCCTCTCTGAAATCCCATGTAGTAACCCTGTGCCAAGGCTCCTGTCAGTCAGATTTGCCCAGAATCCCTGTTGGGATACTGGGCACTCGGGAGAATTGGTGTAAGTGTCTGAGGGACTCATGAAGGGTGCTGCTGGTGTTGGCAAAGTCACGCTGGAGGCCACTGGCTCTGCTGCAGGGGGCGAGTGGCTGGTCCTGAGCTAAGCTGGGCTGGTGTTTCAAGGAGTGGGAGAAGAGAATTCACAAGGGAGATGGCTTTCTGGGGCTGGAGGACCTTGCATTCTATCTGGCCAAGAAGAGCCTGGGGCCTTGTGTGCCAGCATCACAGCCTGGTTCTGGTCAAGTGGTGGCCTGGAACCCAGCCTGCTACACCTCCCTGCCTGCCTTAACTTGGGTTGTGCTCTGCTAGGCCCTCCGGAAAGTCGACAGCCTCAGGAAGCTGCTGTCAGCCCTGGAGGCCAAGGTGAAGGTCCAGACAGCTCCCAACAAGGATGTGCAGAAGGAGATCACGGATCTGAGTGAGGTGAGGCTGGTGGCGGTGCTCTGCCTTCCCAAAGTGAATGGGACCTTGATTGCCAGCACTGGGTAGTGTGAGGCCCAAGTTCAGCTTCTGAGCAGCCCTGTGTCCTGTGGGTGCTCTGCCAGCAGGCTCTGCCTCCCACCTGGGCTGTCGGGCACTGGGAGAGATGGGGAGCTTACTGGGCTCTGACAGTTGAGACACTTGAGCTTCATGAGCTTGGGGCACCATCTCCTGCTGTCGTCACCAGTACCTTTAACCCTCTTCACCTGCTCCTGTTCTGCAGACACTGGCCACTGCTGTTATCCCACAGTGGCAGAAGGATGAGCTGAGGGAGGCTGTGAAAGCACTGAAGAAAGTTATGGATGACCTGGACCGAGCAAGCAAAGCTGATATCCAGAAACGGGTGAGCCCTGGGCAGGTATAAAGGGACCTTGTGGGAGGGTTCCCTTGGGAACTCCACCTGTGCCCCGTGTGGAACGGAGCTGAGCTGTGGGGATGCCTCTCTTGTTGTGCACCCTTCCAGCCTCTCCTGCTCCCTCCCAGAGCAGGGCTCTGTCCATGCCTGTTCCCTAGGGTGAAACATTGCCAATGTGTCTTGGAAGCTGGGCTGCTCCTGCCTTAATGGTGCCCCTTGGTAGAGACTTCTTCCTCCTGGATCCCACTGGATTTTCCTGGAGGAGAAACCACGCACAGCAGTGCTGCTGCCTTGCAGGCCATGCACCTGTCTGCCAACATGTTTTGTTCTGGTCTGCAGTGTGAGGCTGCTCGAGGCTGGGCTGTAGGTGTGATGGGGCTCCTTGGGGGCCTCTGTAGCTGCAGGGAAGCTCTACCCGGGTGGTTCTTGTGTCCACACATGATGTGTGAGCACTAGCATCTGACCACTGTTGTCCTCAGGTGCTGGAGAAGACCAAGCAAGTCATTGAGAGTCACCCTAACCAGCCATTGGTCATCATGGAGATGGAAAACGGAGCCTCAGCAAAGGTATGGGAGGGTCTGGTCTCCTCAGCAACCTTCCTTGTGCCTTAGGAGCAGTTGGGTGGTCTCTGTTCACTTGAGGAGATGGAGCTGGAATGCAGAGCAATCTCTTTTGACACTTGCCAGCCCAGAGTGGTGGCCAGTGAAAAGCAGGAGGACCACTGGGACACTGCATCTCACCTCCCGGACTAACGCCTGGGCTTGCGGGGGGTGGGTGGGGTCTTGACCATTTGCTGGTGGATCAGGGACCCCAACAGAAGTCACACTGGGTCCCAGGTAAGACTCCTCCAGCAGCAGTCAACGACACTGAAATGCAGGGTTGAAGACCTCTGAACAGCAGCTCTGCCAAGCCACCAAGGTTTCGGTGCTTGTGGCCATTGCAGATGAGCTCTGGGAATGGTGGACAGGACTGGGCCAGAGAGCTGCTCCCCAGCTACTGGGTGCTCTCTGCACCCTCCTGGTTCTTCCCTCTCCATGCACAAGTTCATTTTCTTTCCTAGAGTCATAGGATGGTTTTGGTTGAAAGGGACCTCAAAGATAATCCAGTTCCAATCCCCCTTCCATGGGCAGGGACACCTCCCACTAGAGCAGGTTTGCTCAAAGCCCCATCCAGCCTGGTCTTGAACACTTCCACGGATGGAGCACCCACAAATTCCCTGGGCAACCTGGGACAGTCTCTCACCATCCTCAGAATGAAGAACTTAATTTCTAATCTAAATCTCCCCTCTTCCAGTTTGAACCCATTACACCTCATCCTATCACTACAAGCCCTTGTAAAAAGTCCGTCCCCAGCTTTCCTGTAGGCCCCTTTCAGATACTGGAAGGCCACAAGAAGGTCTCCTTGGGGCTCCAGTGCTGCTTTGGGGCTTTCTGAGCAGCACTCACACACTGTTGGCTCATGTTGAGCTTTTCATCAACCAGCACCCCCAGGTCCTTTTCAGGGCTGATCTCAGTCCATTGTCTGCCCAGCTTGTGTTTGTGCTTGGGATTGCCCCGACCTAGCTGTAGGACCTTGCAGTTGGCCTTGTTGAACTTGATGAGGTCGGTATGGGCGCCTGCCAAGGTGCCCCTGGATGGATCCCTTCCCTCCAGCATGCTGCCTGCACCACCCAGCTCTGTGTGGTCCTCAGATTTACTGAGGGTGCCTCGATCCCACTGTCCCTGACGCAGACAGAGCTGTTAAACAGCCCCATTCTCTTCATTTTCATGACTAAAAGCTCCCTGGTGGGTGCTGTGCTGAGCCCAAGTGCCACATCCTGCCCTGACCCTGGACCGCTCTGGTTTTAACGCCCCGTGTAAATTTTCTCTCTGGGAGACCTCGGAGCTGATGGGGAGGTCGCTGAAGGGCCCACTCGTGGACCTCTGTGTATCATCCTCCTGCCTGCACGCCAAAGGGTAATGGTCTCTTTTGGGACTAATGGGAAGCATGGAAGTTTCCCTGGTTTATCCATCTCATAACCCCTTGCAGCTTCTTCATGTTGCATTTAAGTCCTGACTTGCTGTAGAACAGCTGCTTCCTCCTGCTGGGAGCTCATCTCAGGGCAGAACACTTCCACCTCCAGCCTGTGCCCTCAGGCAAAGGTTTGTTTGTTTGGGGGGCAATTCTGCCAGTTCCTGGGTAAAACTGAAGGTGAGGAAGTACTAAAAGCAGCTCCTAACTCCTGCCTCCTCGTAGACACAAAGGGACACAGCCAGGGCTTGTGTCCTGCCAAGGCTATGGTGCAGCCAGAGATGTGAAGATGGGATGAGGTTCAACAAGGCCAAGAGCTGGGTCCTGCACTTGGGTCACAACAACCCCCTGAACTGCTCCAGGCTGGGGGCAGAGTGGCTGGAGACTGCCCAGCACAAAAGGACCTGGGGGTGCTGGTGGACAGACAGCTGAACATGAGCCAGTGTGTGCCCAGGTGGCCCAGAAGGCCACCAGCATCCTGCCTTGGATCAGTACTAGTGTGGCCAGCAGGACCAGGGGAGGGATCGCCCCCCTAGACTGGGCACTGGGGAGTCTGTACCTTGAATCCTGGGCCCCTCACTCCAAGAAGGACCTTGAGGGGCTGGAGCGTGGCCAGAGAAGGAACACAAAG